TAAAAGTGCTCATCATGCAGAATGACCCATTTCAGAAAAATTTGCAAATTACAAAGTTGGGCCTAATTCTAATAACTTTATATTCTGCTGGGTAGCTTGTGAACTTCACAAAAGGAGGATCAATAAAGTGTAAACTTAACCTATAATAATACATCAACATGTATTTATCGATTATAATACTAATAAATAGTACTAATAATCTGATCCTGCAAAATAACTAAAGTTATCAAATAAATGCAGTGGAGAACAAAGTGTAATAGTTACTTCTGAATTGTAGCAGAAAATGGAATTACTACAAATAAGTGCAAGTACCTCATAATTGTACTTAAGAACACTACTTGAGTGAATGTACCTAGCTACTATCCACTGCTGAAATCCCTCCAATTGTTGTTGAGATATTTCACTGTGAAAACTTTGACCTACGGTTTATCCGTAGGGGACCATGAGCGTCTGTACAAAAATACACAGCAATCCACCCAACAGCTGTAGAGATATCTCAGTCTGGACCAAAGTGGTGAACCAACTGACCGACACTACCATCCCAAGAGCCACGCTGTCAGGCAGCGAGGTTGAAATAGGAGGGAAGCAACTAGGAGAGGAGAGTCCAGAGAGTTTAGGTGAGCCTGAGCCAAGAAAAGACAAGATGCTTTATTGTTATTGCATGTGAAACACAATGAAATCTGGTTTTGTCAGCAAATATCAAAAGATACAGCGAGGAGAGGCTCGCACATGCACACATCCTCACGGGACGATGTATTCAGGATAACTCCATTAGGTTTTCCACAAGGACTGTGATGTCACACTTTGTAGATCTCAATGAAAATGCGTCTTGAACAAAAAAAAAGGAAATCCTCCGTGGATTCCCTGAGGTCTCACACGGCGAGCTCAGCGACAACACTTTCCTGTGAACTACTTAATGTCTGTGAGCCGTCTTATATAGAGCATGAATGCTGCCGCTGCGTGATGGCGCACTTCAGTTTGCGCAAGCTTCATTCATAATGCAGTGGGAAAAAGAGTGCTAGTCACAATTCCATTTATATGGCGTTAAATGACTACTTAACCTGTCAGCTCTTGCAGCGTGGCAACTTTATTTGAACGTAATAACTACCTCTTTGGTTGATCTTTGCTGTTCCCAGCATGTGTTTACAGTCTGCTGTGAGGATTCTGTGTACTTCAGGAGTTTAATATCATTTTGGAACCGTGCTAATTTAACTCAACAGAAACACTGCTCTCAGATCAGCAGACTTAATCTGAGTCCCTTCGCCCATTAATGGCTCCCATCCCTGGTCGAGAGGATACGACTCCTCTGGAAGATGGATGACAGAGGTATGTATAAATAGAGATGTGAGCGGAGATGAGAGAGAGAGAGAGAGAGAGAGAGAGGGAGGTATGATGGATTGATACAGGATATAGAGAAATGGAGTGGTGAGAGAACAAAAAAGTGGGGGTAAAAGAGAGAAGCGAAGTGAGAGATGCTCTGCATCTTTTATCAGCGTCATCAGGCCTCCAGCCCAAACAATGAGAGGCTAAAAAGAGAGCTGCAGAGTGGAGATGTGCTGGGAAGAAGAGAGGAGGCAGAGTTGTTCAAAGTGAAATGGAAGTTTTCTGAGAAATCAGTTCATCATTGGTGTTTTTTTTTTTTTTTTAGCCTGTCTTATTTGATCAAAAATGTAATTACCAAAGAAATGACCAGACGTTTCTATTTGATCAATTTCTCTCTTCAGTGACTAATATGATGGTTCAATAGCTCATCTCTTTAAAGGAAGAGTTCTTCATTTTGGGGAAATGTGTTTTCGCTTTCTAGCCGAGAGTTACTGTAGATGAGAGGACTGATTTCACTTTCATGTCTGTGTTAAAGTTACTGTGAGGAACTTTTAACTGCTTATGAAACAGTCTCAGTTTAATACTGATGCCTCTATATGACCTACATAAGTAAACGAGACCATCAGCGAGATGATTGGCTGTTCCTCTATAGTTATTCTTCGTGCCTGTCATCTGTGTCACCGGGTCGGATTCAGCGCAAAATCAAATTAAATCATACAGGTTCACTCAGAAACCCAGATCCGGCTTCGCTGCTGCCTTTCGGGAAGCTCCGGCGGGAGGCAGAGAGCTGCTCCTCCTCCGAGCAGGAGCAGAGCTTTGCCTCACTATTACTACTCCGCCGGTCCACACTGGGGGCTAACACCAACACCGTGCTGCAGGAGACCTGGGCCGTATTGCTGGGCCCGCTGGCAGGACTGAGCAGGTCAGACTGTCAGACCCTGCTGCAGTAAAAAGAAAGTTTTTCTTAAAGAAAACCACTTGAGTCCACAGGGACCGCCAAAGGCAACACTAAATCAAAGTTGCTCATAGAAGCTTGAACTTAAACTTTACTCCAATTATCATATATCCACAGATACATGAAATTTGTTCTCTGCATTTCGCCCATTTTTGGGAGCAGTGAGCTGCTGTGAAGGGGGGGGGGGCAATTTAATTATAAAGCTACTGACAGCAGCAGCATTTACCTGTAAATCACGATCACACAGGCCTATCTGTGATTTGAGCACTGCCAACGCTACTTCGTGGCTCCTTATGACAGCTAACACCTGGAGGAACTCTTCCTTTGTATAATGCAGGACAAACATAGTAGTGAGTGTACAGGAGCTGCAGACAACTCAGCAGGTGTTGAAGACAACATGAACAAATAGAGAGGACGAGTGCAAATCAGTGCTATCGTTTAAAGCCAGCTAGCTTGTACTATATGAGTAGAATACTAACTCAACACCTCGATGGGACTGACCAAATGTTGACAGGCATCATAAATTGTTTAAATCACATAACCAACAATGTATCTTGAATGCTCGTTGTGTGCTATACAGAGCTGTGACATGCTCCAGTCTATAGAGCACCACAGATGTGGACAGTGCGTCCTAGCATCACCGGCTCTCAAATGTCACCGCTGTCACGGGAAACACAAGGAACCCCAGTCGCTGTTTCCACTTTTGAGAAATGGAAAAATATGAGCAACAGCTACCGCATCATAACAGTTTATCTTCTCTTACACTAAAATGGCAGAGGTTAAAATCACTCAGAAATGTGCCATCTGACGCATTTTTTTTTAACATCGGTGTCAATTAAATGTCATACTTTTGTATAAAATAAATGATAAACCGAACAAGATAAACGCGTGCTTTCTCCTTCAACTGACACCTGGCAGAGTTGTGGCAATCTAGCAGTCAAACTGCATAACTCGCAGTAATCGCTGTTTGTGTATGTGAAAGACTCAATATCACTTTCATATAATCCCAGTCAGTAAAATCATGTTTCATTTTATCATGGAGTTCATCACAATCCTGTGATGTGTGCTTGTGAAAGCCGCATCGCGAGGGGAATTCTTAATGGCAAACGGAAATTTAGTTTGCAGCAATGGAGGGAGAAATGAAAGAAATATCACAGTCTTGATGTCAGTTTGGTGCACCAGAATCTTCAACATCATGCTGTTGATGACACAGAACTTAGAACAGGACAAATATCCCTTATGCTGTATATATATTATACACTATATATTGCCCACTGTGCTTTACACCATGACCGGAGACTGTTAGTCTGCGTTACAAATACTGCTCATGGCAATACTGAATCGCTGGAGTACCTCCTTAAAGCTACTATGTGAAACTTTAATTTTGTGTTGATTTTGGCACACCTATGGACAAAAGCGGTAGTGTTTCCGAAAACACTAGTAGCCGAAGGAGGAACTGCCAATGCCGGGAGCTGAGTTTTCCTCCTTATGCCAGAGCTACAACTTTGGTCGATGGCGGCACTATGGCCGGATCTGGGCCTGTCGGCAGAGGGCTGGTCATTGTATGAGCTAATGATCTCAGCCGTGTTCTTATTTATGTAGGTAATAATGCTGAAGAGGATCATTTAAAGCATGTGTAAAAGTTACACATTTACATTGCACACAGGTTATATACACCACTAGCCCATTCTAAAGCTCCTGATTCTCCTTTACAACAGCCATGAAACTTTCATTGCAACGTTTCAAACTGTCTATGGCAAACTTACTCATGTGTCTATGGTAATGTCATCATTTATTAATGTTCACACACAGCTATCTTAGGAAATATTATTCTTATAACTGCATGTGAACAGGTCATGGGTAAGTGCAGTGAGGGATTAGAGGGACAAGGCTTCGATCTGTGGGATTCTACAGATGTACTGTACGTGCCCTATTGATATCAGATAGCACACTGCCTTTCCAAAAGCCTTGCATACTCAGTTCTAGCAAACAGAAATGTGTACTACTTTCCCCCAGCGAGTGGCTGTTGTTGTTTTCAAAACCCTCGACCCTAATGTCACTAAATACACCAAATACACACTGATACTGACCTATCTGCTCTGCGGGGTTTAAAAATGCATATTCAAATGCTGAAACTCGGCAAGCCTCCTATTGACTTGACTTGGTGATATGTGGTTATAAATCAGCACTTTTTTCAGCTGAAAACCATTGTATGTGAGTATTTAGTAGTTGTTGATGGAACCTTGACATTTTAGTGCAAAGTATTTTAGGTCTACATATTGTGAAGACTGCCCTCGTTGAAACCCGGCTGTTGCAATTTAATTTTGCAGTTGGCTGATCTGGAGCCAGGTGACGTAAACCATTGGCGATTACCATTAGCGCTGGCGATTGGCAAAATCTAATTGAAAGGGCTACGGCTATCATGAACGGTATTCAAAGACAGTAATGTCTGGCTACATGTTAGTGTAACGTAGACCAAGCCCAGCAGTTCATGCGGTGCTTCTCATGTTCGGTAACTGTAGCATGACATCATGGTGGAATTAAAGAAAAGAAAAGTCTTTCGATGTGATCGTAATGCTACACTGGTTACCGAAGATGAGCCGACAATAGACGTGTCGTAGCCGCCCTCCCAGCCCTGCCCATTTTTCACTTTCTAGAGGCATTTATTTTTATTTTGCGTAATTTCAGACAAAACTCAAGTTTCTCAATTGATTACACCAACCTGCAGATGGAGTGGATCTCGTGCGTGTCCTCGTCCTTGCGGGCGCTGTCGGCGAGACTGTCTCCCAGCGCCATCAGACACTGAGCGAAACCCTTATAGATGGAGTGACACCTTCTGGCCGACGACGCGGCAACAGGGCACGGGCTGAGCACTGTGGAACACACACACAAAATACACACAGACACAGAGAAAGATTAATTCAAGTTAAACTCGCTGTATAACATGCACTGGGAAATCAATCCGAGCAGAAATACCAATGCAGCAGTTGACAATAAATCATATTTCTGTTACTCTTTGTTAATGGCTGAGGCTGTTGGACCAGAGTCAGCTGAGACAAAAGAGAGCGTCCGTCCAGTGACACTGTTGTCTGTGCAGCCTTTTGTTTCAATGATGGACTGAGAGGTTGAGTATATATCATCCGTCATACACGAGGAGCTACAGACAGCTGTGTGTCCTTTCCCCCTCTCGCTCATTCGGCGTTTGAAGACTGCTGCTGATCGATGGCTCACATCAAAGACGAGAGCTGTCGAGGCTCGTTGACCAGGAAATGGAGATGCAACGGAGGAGAAATGCATTTATTCATCCTCACTGATCCGATTCTGTTTGGAGCAACAACACACACAATCAAGTTTGAATGCAGCCAGGACCTGACCACCTTGACACAGCTCACGTTTACTGACACCTTTGATGACTCAACAACACACATTATTTCCACCAATACGCACTTGTTTTTTAGTTTTTTAGCTGTTGAAGCCAAAAGCAACACAGATGAGAGCTGTGTCTAAACATTCTGAGTAGATCAATTTATCCATTGCTGATACATTGCTGAATATTTATTACTGCAGCTTAAGACTTTTAAAATGTAAATGCAGTACTTCCAAACTTTAAACTGCAGATCATCTTGTAGAAAAAGGAACCAACCAGGAGCCACAACAACATAGCTGTCAGGTGTCAACTTCCTCAGGTTGTCAGCATGGATTGTCAAGACAGTTGCTGACAGAGAACAAGCACGAAAAACAAGAAGTAGCGCTGCTTACTCTCAGTTCTAAGTAGGTACAAAGATTAGGGTAGGAACTGGAGGACAGAATTTCATATCCGAAATGCATTTCAGGGGCAGGTGTCAGGAAGTAGTGAAGGTTACATACGTACACCTACGCTGTTATGTGTTTAGTTTCTTCAGAATGTTGGTGAAGATAGTTTCTGATTTGAGGTCAACTGTCCTGATGAAATGTACCCTGTATCCACAAAAAGTCTACTTACATGCATTTTGCAGAGGGTGAAAACCAAAAGATGAGTATAATTAGAGGCCCATTCAGGAAACTTAAAATAAAACACACACACACACACACACCCCCGAGAACCCAGTCTCACAAGTCGTTTACTCTGTACATAGCTATTTACAGCATCTCACCAAAGCCCAAAGCTGTTTGTTGAGTCAGACTTGAGGAGGAGAAATCTCATCCAGAGAGATGCATATCTGGTTGATGTATTTTAAAATAATTATCAGCAATCATTCAATCGCTTTGCCCTTGTACCATCGTTTATGGGGGATTGAAAAGACAGGGAAGTAAGCTTCGTTGTACACACTGCAGAGACCTAGAGCTCATGTGAGACGTGGGCACCGCTGTTTGATTAGGCTGATCCTTTCATGTGTTTTAAGCAGCAGCAGCAGCAAATGAATGTGAATCAGAAGCCTGAGAAGACTTTGAGTAGAGGATAAACGTCATGGAAACAGAAGATGCAATTAATCACCATCAAAGGCTTTTCCATTTTCCCATCTTTTCAATTTTCCAATCTTCCTAGTACCAGACCTTTCAGTCGCCAAACACAATTCCAGATGTCTCATTGATTCGAATAGGTCTGGCATTGGCTTAATGCCAGAGACCTCACATGATGTCCCATGTGTGATTAAGTTTGGGCAACAAAAGCACTTTGGTTGAGGTTAGGGAAAGGTTGTGATTTTGGTAAAGACGTTGTGTCTCGTGCTACCAATTGTAGACTAATCTACATTAAAAATTACCTCTTTTTTATTATTATTTTACCTTTATTTAACCAGATACGTCAATTGAGAACCAGTTGTCATTTACAATGACGACCTTGACAAAAAGGCAGCAACAGGAGGCAAGTCGTTACAAACGAATAAAACACAGAAACATCTCAATCAATCTCATACAAAAGTAGTTAGTAGTGGCAAGGTCCGCCATTCCAGCGTTTGATTCAAATTGCCAACGTAGGCATGAGGGATTTGCAAGAAAACGATGCTTCCTTGTAATCCCTCATTGATCTCATTGAAATTAGCCTCAGTGTGGACTGTTTAATCACTTACAACCGTATCAGAGCTGTGTTAAAAGGTGGAGTCAGCGATTCTGTAAAAGGATTGTTGATATTTGAACCTGCAAACAAATACCCCTCTCCAGATTTGTCCTCCCTCTCCCTTCCACTGCCTATGTCTTTGTACATCCATGGCCTTCCCCCTGTCCTGTGCATGAACACGAATGCCTCATGTTGCTGATTGGCTGGAAAAGAGTTGCTCAATCCAAGCCACTTTGTTTGTTTCCCATTCACAGAGCCACTGCTATGTCTGAACATCAGATTATTCAGATTACTGAAGGACAATAAGGAGATATTTACTTCTATTTTTTTGTGTTTTTCTCCAAAAATCCAGCAAACCGTGTCAATTTCCGCTCGTTACATGCATACAGTCTTTTCAAAATAAACATTTGTCTTTACAGGAAAAAACATAGTCAGGTTTAGGGAACAAAACAACTTAGTTAGATGAAGGAAAAGATCATAGTTAGTGTTAAAATATAACTATTGAAGTAGCGCTACTCAAGTGGCCCGTTCACCGGCCCTGGAGCCTCTCAATGGGACTTTTTGTGGTCTTTATACTTCCTGTTCAGCGATTACATGGATTACATACAATTTGATTTCTTTGTAAATCTACGAATTATAGTGCATTCAACACTGCATGAGAACAGCCGGAGAAAACATGTATTGGTTACCGAGGTTAGTGCTGACCACGAATGTTCATTAACAAATGTGTCTACAAGACAAGACAGTGATCATTATTTACATTTTCTCATCAGCGGATCGTTTGAAATTTACTGGTACCTGCTGACCATGGCCAACACAACCAGGATTGAAATCTTGAGGATACAATCAATTGACAAGTTGCAAAACACAACCATAAAAGGTCCAACAATGCTTTATTTGCTGTGAGTGGACATTCTATTGCAAGAATGGATATTGTAGGGAAAAAATACTATCAGTTTACATTCTCCTGATATGTTCAATATAGAAAAACATATCGGCCCAAGCGACATTACATTCCCTTAAAAACTTGCACATTAGCATGATATAAGCACACTCTCTAAAAACGGGGTTGAGAAGGAAAATGACAAGAGTATGTCAACAAACCTGGAGGAAATCATGTTATGCAGCTTGTATTTCATCAATCCACATCAAAAAATGTTGCTCCCACAGCTTCCATGTTGACTGAAAATGATGTCTGCAGGACCGATACGTCACTTGTTGCTGATTGATTAGAGTAAAATACCCCGAAAGAAGTCGGCTAACGAGCAGGAAGTCAGACTGAATGATGCAGTGCAACGAAATGGCGATTAAGTCTGACTCTCAGGCTACACATCCTTTCCATGATGATTTTGGTGTAGGTGTGTCAGCAGTGATTACATCCCCCGATAACGTGGGAGACAGGCGATCAATACAAGAATCATCGGATCGTCTGACGCACATTGAGAAAAACTGTTAGTTGACTGTCTGTAACAGAAATATTGTAATATTCAACAAATGACTGACACAAACCTTTGTGAAATAGGTTTGTTTTAAAGTTCTCACCTCCATCCTTTCTTTGCTTACTCCGACTGATGGTGAAGGTGGAGACAAAAGGAGTCACAGTGAAAGGTTTTGGCAGCTTCTTTCTTTTGCCATCTGTTGCTTGTATTCTGTCTTTCTTCTATTTGAATTCATCCCGTTACTCATTCATCTCCAAGCTCCATGTCTCATGAAGGGCAATGCACACCAATGAATAGTTATCACATACACATGAGAGAGGGCTGATACACGATGGAACTCACTCTGAGTGACAAGAGAAGCTGATAAAAACTGTGATCTTAAATTTAGAAACAGATCCATCATTAAACACAAAAACAGCTTAATCCCAGTGGATTTCTTTCATCTTTATCTTTACCATTCATCAAGACTCTGTTGACCTAAATCAGTCAATGTTTGCACTGGCATGAACATTTATTGTTTGTCAGTTTTGTAAAAGATGTACTCTGCTGCTTTAGTTAAGTAAAAAATACTTAATTACTAGCCTTGCATTTAAGATCCTGTTTAAATAAAAGTACAAAAGTATGTTAAATGTGCTTATGGTATCAAAAGTACTTCTTCCTAAATGCCCCCAGAGACTGACATAGTATCACCGATTACATTCTTAGATTGGTAATACTAATGCAGCATTAGCGTGAGCAGCATTCTGCTGTTGTAGTGGAGATACGTTTTACTACTTTATGAACAGTTAGGTAGTCGTGAGATAATTACTGGGAAGTCAAAGTGAAACTATAGTACTAAACATTTGTGTGAATTGTCATAATTAGCTTATGAATTCTTGATTCATGACCAAAAATGTATGCGGGTTGTGAGACGTGGTTATCACCGGGGCGCGGAGGCATAAAAAAGCTGATCTCTTATTTGTTCCCCTGCCATGTCCTAAAAAGATCCTAATAGAACGTCTTTATGGCTCCAAGCTATAGACCAGACCAGTATCATGTCATCGCAAAGGCTGAGTTACCTTTTAGGGGAAAGACACTCGTCGTCACATGAGGATAGAAACAAGATAAGCCATAAGATATGTGAATATTCACTGTCAGTATAGATGTCTGGATAAGCAGTATCCACTGTGTTGGAAGGGGGAATGATGGAGATCAACCGTAAGCCATGAAGACATGCGTATAAAACAGAAGTTTGGTTAACGAGAGATAAATGTATCCAAACTTGCCAAGATTACAATCCAAACATACGTCAAATATCATTGACATCTATGGGATCTTTGATTTTCTATCCCTAAAAGAAGCACGGCTTTGGCTTTTTGCAAAGTACCTGTATGTGCTGGTCCGATGTGCATGTCATGGC